TCCCAAAGCCTAAGGGCCACAAGAAGACCCAGTCGCCTCTACGGCATGGGCAAAGTTCAGGAGCGGACTATGGGTCCCTCCCAAAGCCTAAGGGCCACGAAGACCCAATCGCCTCTACGGCATGGGCGAAATTTAAGAACGGACTACGGGTCCCTCCCGAAGTCTAAGGGCTGAAGATGCCGAACTAACAAGGACCTAGTTACTTCGTTGGCATAAGCTACTTCTAACACCTAAGGTAAAGATAGCTCGGGTACAAACCTTACGATGTCTATTTCACCTCGGTTACCCTTACTCGTTGCCAAGCTCAGTGACTCAATAGCTCGGGGTAACCTGTGTAGTTCGGAGCAAACACAATTCATTCTTTCGATAATCCCTATTCACTGCCAACTCGGTAGCTCAGGTGACCTATATTTTAAATTACCCAGCTTGGAACTCACTCACATTTAGAATTATTTCGTACTCAGGAGTACTAAGAAAACTATATATTTCATTAATAGAAAAAGTTCAGATACAAGATTGTTACTAAAACCCGAGCTCAACGGCCCGGGAGAGTACATCCACAATCCAAAAAAGAGAGAACAAGAAGCCATCACGTAGAAGCGTCAACCACTTCGACCTCGGTGTCACTCTCCTCCCCTGAGGAGTTGGGCTCCTCATCTGCTGCTTTGGCCACCTCGGGGTCCAAGCCCGTCATTGAAATGCCACCAAGGTTGAGGTCAGGGAACTTCTACCGGACCAAGTACCGGCACAGTTTGAATCCATACCGAGAGGAGTCCGAGCCGTATTCGACCTGTAGAGCCTTGAACTCCGAGGACTCTTTGAAACTCTCGACGACCTTGCTCCTTTCTTCCACGATGGAGGCCTCGAGGTTCACAATCTCTCGCTCAAGCCGTGCCTTCTCCTCAGTCAGCGAGGAGATCTGCCCTTCTTGGGACAAGATCAGCTCCTTCTGGGCCCCGGCTCCCTTCTTGGCTCTAAGTATCTCGCCCCGAGCTAGGTCCAGTTCGCGGTGGAGTTGCTGCGCCTCCTTCTTGGCGTCACGAGCTTCCCTTGTGTGGATCGCTGCTTGGTAGGCCAGCGCGTGACCAACAGAGTTAGCCTACCAGAAGAAAACCGAGGTCAGTGAGTCAAAAAAAAAAAGAGGAGGGAGAAAAAGGTAGAATGCTTACCACCATACTATGGCTACCGATTAGTCCCAAGAGCCGGCCCGTAGACATCTCTGCCCACTTCATGATTTCGTCCTGGAAGATAGCACCTCGGCTCTTGCGCATAGCTAGAATGTGGTCCATAATGCTCTCTCTCACGGACGGGAGATGGCCCTCTGGTGCAATGTTCTCCCCCACGGGTGCAGACAAGCTCTTGGGCTCTTGAGGACAAGCTCCCTTGTGATGGGCTTCGTCCATGACCGCCTCGGGAGCAGCAGATCGAGTCTCTTCCTGGGGCGCAGTGGAGACTAGCTCCACAACCATGACTTCGGGAGAAAGATCGGTCTCCTGGCGTGACCTCTTTGCGGCCCTCCTCTTTCCCTAGGAGCTCCTCAAAAGATTTTCCACGTTGACTGGCATGGTAGCTGCAAAAAACAAAGAGTAAGATTAGCCACGAACTAATCAGAACCTTAAAAAAGCAAAAACCCAAAGGCAACCTACTAGGACTCAAGCCGGTCTGTACAAGCTTGTCTTCAACAAGATAGTCTGAGCAGAGGAAGCTGAGCTCCGCCCAAGACTTGAGCGTCTCCCTTGTCTTCAGGCCCAGTCTAACACCAGGAACCTGAATCGCCGGCCTCCAGTGGGTCGGGAAAGGCCACCCCTCGGGGCTACGGACCACGAAGTAACCCTGTTTACAGGCCGGGATCCTGTTGGGGAGTGCGTGCAGTAGCTTATAGCCCGGGCGAGGAGACAAGTAATAGGTTCTCCTATGCTTGGGAAGAGCATAGGAAGAGTTTTTCTTTATTGACAAAATGGTAGAGAAAGTATCGAGGTCAAGGGGGAGACAGTACTCGTAAAAAAGCGAAATGGTCCCTACTACATTGCCGATGGAGTTCGGGTGTAACTGATCTATGGTAATGTCAAATGACTTTAGAACCTCTACGATTAAAAGATGTAAAGGAAGGCAAAGGCCAGCCACGAGATACTCTTCAAAAATCACGATCTCGTTATGATCGTGTTCCCAGGGGAAGTTACTTGAGGGGAGACTGTAGGAGAACTCCCTCAGGAGGTTGTACCGACACACTAGGACCTAGAGCTGGTCCAAGGTCATTGTCGAAGGGCCAAAATGGTCCGGCACCCAACCTTGGTGAGAAGTGGATGCCTGACTACCAGAGGCCTCTCGAGCCTCCCGGGGTGCCTGTACCTCAGGAAGGCCACAGACTACCTCTAGACCCAAGGTAGCCCCTTCTTGGGTACCGGCCTGGGCCGAGGTACCCGTCTCGGCCTCATCAAGAAGACTATTGAAACTAGAAGAAGACATGAAGCTAAACCAAATGGAAAAGGAAGAGCGAAGGGAGACTCACCAAAGAGAGACAACCGGATTAGAAGAAAATGGCGAACTAAGCCAAAGGAGCTAAGAGCGACCACAGAGTCAAGGACTAGTAAGCTTGTGGCGAAGGAAATGAGTCTCGGGTCCCCCTATTTATAGCAACTGTGTCGAATAAACAACGGTTGGGATCAAAGCCATCCGACGACTCCTAAGAAAACCGGTTGCACGACCCTCGAGATCGAAATTGGTTTAGCGTGTTTTTTGGCATCCACGGAACCTATAGATCGCTTGACGTCCGCGTGTGAACCGCACACGATCCATCTAATAGAGCACCTAGACTTCGAGCCAAATCCACTTTGCGTATCGTGAACTCCCCGAACGAGGTCAAGACCCCTAGCTCGAGGAGTGGGGGGCAATTGATGAAGGAGAATTTGGCCCGACCTCATGACCGAGGGACACGTGGGCGTGACCCCACATAAGCAACAAATCGGCATGGTCAAATAGACACGTGGACATGACTCAATACGAGTGACAGCTTAGCACGAACCAGATCGCTACAAAGCGAGCTCGGGTAAGCTGGTACCCCAAACTAAAGCCACTTCGAGCTAAGGTCGTCTTGGAACCAGATCGCGACAAGCAAAACCAAGTTCGTTATATATCATGCCCGGACTGATGAATCACCTCGGTCCAAGGGCACTTCAGCATTCATGTCAAGGCAGACCTAAGTTGCGCAAGCTCGAGGAGCTCGCTACCAGTCGGTCCACCATCGAATAGCTCGATATCCTATAGGCGACTTGCCTACTGTTCAGACCTCCGAATGGCAACCTCGAGGAGCACACCGCAGTACTCTGTATCTTACAAGGCCGTACCTCGTAACGGTCACATTAGTTCACCAACTCCCCGGTTCTGTCAAGAAGGGACAGTATTACCGTTTGACGGTGTGTGACAGTATTACCGTTTGACAGCACATGACAGTATTACCGTTGGATGGCGTTTCGCCCACCTAACACGCAAGCAAGTTCTGTCATAGATGGAATCCGATAACTGTTCTGCCGACTCGCATGGACCCCAGTATATAAAGACTCCGCCCCCCCGAGTTACGTTCTATTCTCATTGTTGTATGTGTAATCTCTAGCTCTATCACTGTTATCATCTTCAAGCTCTCTACCATCACTGTGTTCTAACTTAGCCATTGGAGTATCCTCGCCGGGTGAACCACCCTGGGATCTCTGACTCATTTTTTTCAGGAACCTAGTTTCCACCGTTGCTGGCAGCCAGATCATATCTAGCAGGGAGCAGCCGGATTATGCCACATCAATAAGTATTTCCTAGAAAACACTAATTACCTAGGTAAGTGGATTTGTTGATGTTCTTTTATCTCCTACGAAAGTAAGACAATGGCCATTTTAGCCATAGAGAAACCATTATTAAAAAGGAACTTTCCACCTAGGTGAGAAAGTTAATTATCATATGGACATAGGGAAAATAAGTTTTCTGCGGACCACACATAATTATGAAAAGAGAACATGACTATCTTAGTCAATAGAAACTAAAATCCCATTGACCAACTTTCCCCCTCCAAAAATAAAAAAAAAAAGAAAAAACAAATGGGCCCCTAGTTTGATCCTTTATGCCTCAGACCAAATACTTCCATTGCTCCAAAAATAATCATCTTAGGATAATGATGCTGTTCCAACTTGTCCCCAGATTTGTGACTCGCAAGATGCTTGTGAGTGTTCAGTCCTTAGGCAGCAGAAATTTGGAGGAATGGAAGGACTTCAAGGAACTTATTTGAGATTAAAAAAGAAAAAGTCCTATTACTTGAGAAGCTGCATTTTATGCCAACCATATTATAATTAAATCATTTTTGGCTCCCTATGGTTACCATGCTGTAACTATAGCTATCTTTTTATATGACCCTCCCAAAAAGAATGGGGTGAAAAGGAAAAAAGAGAAACCTAACCATTGTACATAAAGCTTATTCTACCATCTTTCTCTTCAGGGTGAAGACAAATGGTAAGGTCTCATATAATAATTGTGTACTTGTGAGAAGCAAGGGGCCATTTGTTTTTTGGTAGGTATAATACCTGAAAAGCTGAGCTGATGTCACTGCTAGAAGGTCCAACTTTTTGCAAAGTGATGCTCATTATATATATGTAATTTGATTTGTTTCAATATATAATATAATTTTGTTTTATTAATGGAAAGGCTTTCCTCTCTTGCTGTTATGAAGTTTTCTCCAGATTTAACAGAACTGGAATTTGATGATCAACTTATTTGCAGCCTAATTAATAAGATTTTTATTGAGATTACTGTTTGTACTAATTCTCAATGAATCATTCAACCTAAAAGCTTAAGCTATTATTTGAGGTCACTAAATAGATTATTTCTTTATTTTCTAATTAACATGCCACCTTCATACAAAAGTCCATTAATTAGACTTGCAGTGTGGATAAATACAAGTTTACCCATATCTTATGTTGAAATTTAATTAATTATAATAATGTAGGAAGAATACACTTTTGCTTATGTAAAGTCTGCATAACATGACCTTGGGAGCACCATAACAAACACTTACACAGCTTCTATGTCTCTACTTTTTTACTACGTACTTAGATATTGCACCGGAAACGTTCAATCCATGCAGATATCCTAAATTCTCTCCAATTATTTGGAGTTTGTATACATGCTATTATCTATCTGTCTCACTGGAGTCTCCAAGTTCTGCCACCTTCCATATTGAACTTCTTAAGTCTTCCGAAAAACATGACCACGATGAGGATCAGCTTGCCCGTGTTGCTCCATCTTCCAGAGAATCCGTACCATGTATCCTTGCATTGGCCATCTGGATTTAGTTGCCGCTTGCAACTGTACCCGGTTGTGAAACCCACATTGCCATATGCACTGCCATTCATTTACAATTAGCATGGAATGAGCTTAAATGAATACACATCATTTCATTTCCATGTTCTCCATTTCTATCTCATCTTCTTTTTCTTTCCTTCTTGTATTGATATGGCAGATTAATTTAGCTTTTATTATGGGATACCTTTGTTACAATGAAAATATTTCAAAAATAAAGCCAAAACTCGTATATGTTGTTAGAAATAAAGCATAATGTATGGGTTGGGATGCTGATTATTGGTGAGAGGGAATATCTGTGCTGTGAAAGACAATGGTCCCAAACACCCCCCTAATGGGCATGTTCCAATCCCGGCCCTTTTCGCCATTTAGACTCAATTTGGAAAGAGTACAAAATACAAATATCTACAATGCAAATGCATACAAAATACAAGGTTTTGCACTCTATAGATTTTTGACGTGCACCGGTGCGCTCAACCCGATCCTGTTATGTGTTAACATTTCTTTGCACCAGTGATCCTGTTACAATTTCGAAAATGGGTGCGCTCAACCCGATCCCATTCCAATCCAACCCAACCCAATTCAAGTTTTTTTGCTATTTTTTGGACTCGGAACTGGTAGAGGCCAGACCCAAAACATAACTGGGCTTGATACACACACCATTTGGTGGATTCCACCATTGAGATTGTGGGTCACCAAACCCATCTATGGTGTGCAATGTGCGAGGCATTTCCATTTACAGTGGGCTGTGAATCTGAGTCTTGCTCACCTCTGGATCGAGTAGTGCACCCTTCATATGGTCTCTTTAATGTTGGAAGACGAATAATACTCAATTTGACTTATATCACTACGCGGTCACATCACATGTTGTTTCCCCAAAAATTGCAAGACAACTTTTTTTGGATAACATGATGAACACATTTTCATGTATATTTGATATTATAGAGTTGATGTAATAGGTCGATGGGTAGTGGTGAGGAATGAGGATAACTACAAAATTGTTCAGGGTCAATTTGAGGAGGTTCCACAGATGCAATAAAAGGAGTTAGAAGGCCAACACCACTCCTGGACCTGGAAATTGGAAAAGGAATTTGGTCCTATAAAGGAAAGCTAGTAGTAGAGGTTATATCTTATCTCTTTGGTGGGGTTTGCACTAAACTCATGTTTGTATTTTATCTTTAATCGAATTTGTCTCCTTTTCGTGGTTCTCTAGAATGGATGTATAAAACACGAATGAAAGAATTGAAACATGGGTTTTTTTTTTCACTTCCAATGAAATTAATTGTTAATATTTCTATATATATAGGTGATGAAAAGAGATAAATAAAAAGCAATATTATACAGAGATTCTCAAATTATAGATATATTTGTATATGGTTTTCTTAAGTACATTTGAGCAATATTAAGCATAGGGATTGGTCAAGTACATGTTTGAACACAACACCATGGATCTGGTGTCCAGTATGCCAGATCCACAGGTACCACAGTCATGTATGCTTAGAGAATTCCTGTGTTACAAAAAGCTTTCTTTAGGAGTGATATGGGTACAAAGTACAAACTATTATATTGATAAAGAGGCATATCCCAAGAACTGGACAAGGGTACATATATGGAAGAACAATAACCACCCCATGTTTTTGATTTTTAATCAGGTTTTCTTTTCTTCAATGGGGATGCATCCAAATCAGTTATTATTTTCTTAATAGCAAATTAAGTCAATATATATATATACTTTTTGTTCTTTTTTATCTTTCCTTGTTTTTGTTGGGATTGAACATAGAAGCCTTGACTGAAATGACAGCACTCTTATTGGAAATAGGGACATGTGGAAACCCTAATTGGGAAATTTATCATGTGTTGGGAACTTATGTGCAGATCAATTCAAAATTTAGAGAGTAATGCATCACACCATGTCATGCACTAAACCACTAAACCACCCACGAATGTTTCACTATCCCATCTCAAAAATTATTCATTGCTACTGATTGTGGGAAAATTGATTCTTCTTATTACTACTTGTTTTCCCCTTCCTGTGAAGCCCCACACACCAACCACACTTCAATTATCACCTCCAAATGCAAACTAGATTAGTGGTTGTAGTTGCTGTTTTAGTGACCTTTATCCTTCAAGTAGTACGGAAGTATTGGCAATAGGGGCATCAGTAAGCAGATAGTGATATTTTGATCTTTAGTTTCTTTCTTGCAGTATGAAATTTCGTGGTTTGTTTCCATTTTGAGTGTATTTTGTGAATTTTATTTTCCATTCTTTCTTCTTTTTCTGTTTTTATTAACCTAGCTAGAGCCTAGAGAAGCTTACTTTTATCTGTTTGGGAACCAAACGAAAGTTAACAGTGACTAGACACCCAACAAAAGGAAGAAGTCTTCAAGGGAAGATCATATACCTGATCACTTCAATGACGATGTTCAACACTGTGAAGTTAAGTGGATCTTCTTTCATCTTTTTCCTCTCTGAGATGCAAATGAGGATGACGAATATGAACAAATAAGAGAGCTGTGAGAATTTGAGATTCTCCATTAGCCTTCCCCAACTACTTTTGGTTTTCTTTTCGGAACTGCTTGCTGGAGAAAGCTCTTCATCTTTAATGGGTAAAAAGGAAGTATACGGAGGGAGATACCTATAAGACAAAGTTAACAGGTAATAACAAAAATTTAATTTGCTTAAAGGAAAAGAAAAGGTAAATATATAAACCATTTTAATTAGTTATACGTTAATCAAAATTGTGGAAATAAAATTAAGTAAATAAATTGAAAGAATCAACTAAAGTCCCAATCATTTACTTGTTATTATAATTTATATTGATCGAGCAATCAGTTTAGTGACACACGCCAATGTGAGAATTATTAGGCTTCAGTTTCAAATCAAATATGAACGAAAAATAGTAGACAGAAAATGGAGAGAGAGAGAGAGAGAGAAACATACATCATTACCACGAACAGAACCAGGACTGCTGGAGAGACTAGGGAGAGATCAACGATTGATTCGCCGGCGTGCCGCGAATTCACTGTTTGGAACAAGCAACCTACTAGCTTCTGGTAAGGATTCATCCCATTCAGTCCTTCTGAGTTCCACTCCATGGAACAAAAGAGAACAAATTGTACCAGTATGAAGCCGAAAACAGTGACGACTAAAAGGAAAGAGTGCAAACTGGGGAGTAAGTGAGCATATCCAACCTCTCCCGCATTCTTCAGAATGTACTTGAATTCGACCTTCTTTGTAAACCTCCCCAAGACCCATATCACAAATCTCAAGCACGATGGGAATAGTGTGTTCCCAAGAAGGACCTGAGGGATGAGTAGTAGCAGAAGTCCAGCATTCTTCCTGAAGACTATCATGTTCTCATTTGTGGGGATAAAACCGCAGTTTGTGAAAGTAGAGACAATTGCGAACACAGAGAATGTATGTATCGAAATGCTCTTGTTCTCGAGTACATTTCTGGCACTTGGAACAAGGCTCAGATATGATGAAACCAGTGCAAACCCACTTACATGAACCACTAGAAGATAACCCAAGACTACATAACTCAGGTACCTAATTGAATCATACTTAAGGTCCTCACTACAGCTCATTAACTGATCATCATCATCAGTTCCAATATTCCTGCAGGTCTCTACACTGCTGGGTTTCTCTCTTTCGAAATGGGGTACTTTGACTAGCCCCAATTCAATTTGATTATCAACATTCGTGTGAATTGAAGAAGTAATAAGGTAGTCTGAACTGACTAATGAGTCGACTTTGTTTTCAATCTTCTCCTGCTTCTTCATGAACTTGGAACTCTCTATTTGAAGTCCAAGCATGGAAAGAAAGACCTCTCCACCTAGTAACATTAAAACGGTTAAAACTACAAGCTGGGCAATGGAAAAGACCTCCATTTCGACGGTTGACATGCTGGAAACCGTAGCTGCAGACACAGATGTAAAGAACACATCAAAGTCCTTAGGCCTTACTGCGTCGGGTCTAGGTTTCAAAATCTTCAAAACTAAAAAACCCATAAGGGAATTAGAGACAAAGTAAAAAAATTGGATCCAAAGGGGATTCACGTTGAAGAATAGGAAGTGGTACAAACATCTAATAAGACCTGGAAAGGATCTGCTAAGACAAGCTGTTTTGATACATGAAACACTACTACAAAGCCTACAGAGATGTAGTTTCTTGCCAAAACAGGTAAAATTCCTCATCTCTGCTTATTGGTTAAGGATCGGAACACAATTAACGTTGCGAGAGTTTAAACGTGGAGGATGTATATATATAGGATATATAGAGCTAAGGTACTGTTTCTATACTTAGTGGGACTTCACTCGGAGGTCCATGTGTTTGGGAAAAGGCCGGAATAATTAGTTGATGGATGAGTTACGTTGAGTTAGTACTAAGTGGGATTTCTCATCCTCTTTATCACTAGCAAGTTATATTGCAATAAGTAAAGGGGGTTCAAGATGTGACCACATCCATAAAGAAAGTGGAGGAAATATAATTAATGGGTGAAACCTGATTAAATATAAGAATTGATTAAGCAAGGGTTGTGACCAATACTCATTATATTGTGATGAGTGGAGTACTAGTAGATGTCCATCCTTCTGGGTGGTATATATGGGCCCCGGCTCCTTGTTTCTGATGTAACGGTCTTCCATTAATTAATTGATAAAACTTTGGAAATGACATGTCTATTAGTGATTAAAATTTTGGAAATTAAACAAACTTGAAGACCTACAGTAGTCAAGAGTATCAATAAGCATCAAGGTGGTCCTTGGTTGGATTGGACTCAATAAGGACCTAGAAACCCATGTCCTTCAGTGTGCACCTTAGCATCACCTTAACGTAGCTAGTTAATTTCCTTCGAAGTTGTTTAGTATTAGTTGGCAATGCATCCTAAGAATGAGGAAATGGGAAGATACCTAAACCTAATGCCGTTGTGTGTGGGCCCTTACTTTGTTATCTTGCTTTCTCAAGGGATTTTGATTTGTCCAAAAACACGTAATGACAATGTAGATAAGAAGTCGGCTCAACTCAATTGAGACTCTTGACAAACAATAAGTCGTGGAAAATTTCAATTAAGCGATGACTAAATTTAAATTGTATATACAAAAATCTAGACAGCTAGGCAGCTGCTACAAAATGGGAATTTTCTCACTCTCATTATTTAGGATTCATATTGACAAGAGTATAAGATTTTCAACGTTTCAATGTTTGTCAGAATAGGATTCATGTTAGCCAATCCCATTAGGGCTGCAAACCGTATCCAATTGTCCTAATTATCCAATTATCCAATTATTCGAAAAGTCATGTTCACTTTTCGGTAAGTTATTTATCCCGTAAATTCTGTTATTTGAGTATGTTTTTCCTGGAAAACATTTATTTGGGTAAGTGTATGTGTTCTTTAATTTCTCATGTAAAATCCATTGATCCCAATAGAAATTCACCTTTCAATGTTAAAGTACAAATTGTCACATAAATACAAAATGTGGTTTGTGTTTATAATATGCTTAATGATGCATTCCGATTAGGAATTAATCTAGTAATGGATCATGTTATTGCTTGGAATGGGCCGAGGGAAACACTATCAATTTTCTTTAGAGTTGAGGTGAGGTTGAATAGTTCGGGGTCTTGATCGGCTGAGGGCTGGTAGGCCTGTCCTGTTATGAGTGACATAGGGAGAATGTTAGAGGCCTTGAGTGAGTATTCGATGTAGAGGCTTTGACGGTCAAGTTAGTTAGAGCTAGTGTGAGGTGGATGAGGTTTGAGGTGGGAGCCTTCAGAATTGGTCACAAGTAATCTTAGAGTCCTTAATTCTGTCTTCTAGTAGTCTAGATATTTACCTTGAGGGGGTTTCAAATTATTTATACTTGAGCTTGCCTGGAGGTGGGTGTGTTCGGACGATCTTGATGTGGTCCATACGCAAGGAGCGCGGTCATCCAAGGTCGTCAATTGACCCGTGCTATTAGTTCCAGAATCTACACCAATCTCTGCACCACATGTGCTCCAATTGGGTCCGCTTTCAGCTTCGCTGCTACACATGCGTTGTCATCCGAGATGAGGGCTAGGACTTCCTGGTTGAGTTACATTTCCTCCTCTGTTGCTTCACTACTTGCTTTTTAGTTAGATATCTTTTCTATTGGGGACACATTTATTGCAGGTTTGGTGGTATTACATTGACTTGGGGGACCGAGTTAGTCTCCTCCTTCGCCGCCTTTAGAGGGTCACGGAGAAGAATGAGCAGCTCGTGATGAGGGTTGCTTCGGCCGAGAACAACTGGGCCCTCTTAACTATAGGCAAGGAGAAGCAACTCTCTTAGACGTTGGAGGATGACTTGAAGGTGGAAAATGCTCGGACTGCAAAGCTTCAAGAACAATTGAAGAAGTCCGAGCTCGAGTGAGCCCACATTGATAGGGTGGCAATGGAGACCCAGGCCCGAGTAGCAGAGGTCGAAGCGAGCTTCAAGGATGCTGTCCCCGTTTGGAAGACCATGGCGGAATATCAAAAATGCCTTACTGACTATGGAGCCGACTCCTATTTGTAGGGAGTCGAGGATACGAAGCTCGAGGATCTAAGGTTGATGCCTAATTTTCTGATGGATGATCTAAAGGCTCCTTTGGATTTCGAGACCCTTCCTCCTAAGGTCATTGCTGCTATCGAGGACTCTGTTGTCCTTCCTGTCGAGGGTGGTGTGTAGGCATTCCACCTCTCTGCTTTTCTTTTTGATTTTTTGTCCATCTTTTGTAAAGGGCTCTTGGTTTTTCCATGTGAGGCCTCATATTTTGTAACAGCTAAATGTATATAATGGAGCACTCTTTTTGCGTCTCTTGTACCTTTGTTATTTTTGTTACTTCTTTTGTCATTATCTGAAGTGTCTTGTTACTTAGTCTTTCACTTTAGGAAGGGCAATGGCCGAGGTAGAGCTATGCTACCAAGGTGCTTGGTGCCCCTTCCCTCGGGTGATTACTGGAAGATAGAAGTAAGGACTCTTAGATTACTTGTATGTAGGCCATATCCGAACCAACCCCAACCCAAACAAAAAATGAACACTAACAACTCAAATTAGGATTCTCCTTTGTCCTCCTCTCCCCATACCTTGAGTGTTTTTCAAAGCCTTATGATCTTGTGCCACATGGTTGACATATGAATCCAGTAGGTTCCTAACTACTTCCTAGAAGAAACCAAATCTAATAGATTTATCCATTTCATCAAGGAAAATATTTATAAATGCCTTTTTATATGCCACTTTAATATATGCTCAAAATGACTGAGAGATCTAGACTTTGGTTTTCAAAATATTGTCACCCTAACATACTTTTCACCCCTAGGAAGAACAAACCTTTTGTACTCCTCCCCATTTGAACATCTTCATTTTCTTATTTGGGAGCTCCTATCAACCATAAAAAGATTGAAAATAAATGATTTTGAGCCTCTAGTGTTGAAAATTCAAAAGGGATTGAGGGGTGGAAATCTGAACTTCACTCTATAGTTGATTGATTCTGATTAAACATGTTCTTTTCTCCATGTCTATCCATATCCTAAGTGTTGTTTCTCCTCACAAGGCAATTTTTTATAAAATTCATAAAATGTTGGCTAACGTTTTGTGGGGCACTTCAGATTTTGGAAACAGATTACATTGGATAGGATGGTCGAAAATTTTCTTTCCTCAAGAGGAGGGCGGCCTTGGTATAAGGTCCCTTTTTGATATCTCAAGAGCCTTTAAATTGAAATCTTGGTTCCATCTTCTATAAGGAAATAGTATTTGGGAAATGTATGTGACTTCTAAATATGTTAAATCAACTCCTTTGGCTCTTCTATCAAGTCTAAGAAATTGCTCCAAATTTTGGAAGGAAATGATTGATTTAAAATTGATAGCTTTGTCTATTGTGAATGGTTGGTTGGTAAAGGTGATATTTCTTTTTGGCATGATAATTGGACTGGTTCAGGGCCTCTTATCTTTCATTTGGATGATTGGAATGCTCAAGATTTTTCTCTCAGTCAAGCCTTACTTTATAATGGCTACTGGAATTTTGATTCTTCCAAATCTGTCCGCACTCACATCATTGGCATGGCTAAAAACTCATATATCTCTTTATGTAAAGAGGATGATAAAATTATTTGGAATGCAAATTCTGATGGATTGTTCTCTTTGTCATGATCTTGCAGTATCATTAGAATTCAGTCTCCTATGGATAATTGGTACAAAATGGTGTGGAAATCAGGTCTTCCTATTAAAATTTCTATTTTCATGTGGAAATTTTTACATGGATCTAATCTTGTTGATGAGGTAATTAAAAAAAGAGGAATCTATCTTGCTTCAAAATATTATTGTTGTGCTCATAACAAGGTTGAAAGTTTCTATCATTTGTTTGCTCATGGTGTTATGGCCAAGAAAGTTTGGAATTATTATGGAAGCTTATTGGATTTACCAACATCCCAACTCAGCATGTTGTTGATAGAATTCTCATGTAGTGGAATCAAGATTCTGGTGATTCTCATTAGGATTTTTCTTTCTCGTATTGTTTGGATTATTTGGAAAGAAAGGTATTGTGACAGATTTGAAGGTAAGAAATCTGTTTCTTCTTCTCTTATTCTTAGGATAAACAAATGGTTGAGGGAAAGTTTTGCAAATGAGAATACATGGTTTAACATTGGCAATTCTCTAGTATTTGATATTCTTAACATTCCTACGCACCCATACAAAAAGGAAGGAAAGAATTAGGTGGGACACATGGAAACCTCTGCAAACTCTCTTATAAAACAAATGTGGATGATGCTTGTCGTGGGAACCCCAGTACCGGTGAAAGAGGTGGTGTAGTGAGAAACTTTATAGGGGTTTTTTGCTTTGCCTTCCACAAATTTTATGGTGAGAGCATCTCTATTAAAAAATATTATAATGGTCTTTTTAGACGAAAGGCTAACAGAAGGGAGTTTTTGTCTCATGATCACTGTACAAGGGGAGGGGGTCTTTGTCGCAAAACAAAGTAGAGGGGGTCTTTATCACAGACCCTATAGTACAAGGAGGGTCTTTGAATGATAATGATTGGTTGAGACTTGTATTGTGTTGGGATGAGAGGGTAAGGTTGTATGTTTTGTTGTTGGATTTTGATTTACCTCCCTTTTGAATGATAATGATTAATAAAACTTTTAGGGGTATATATAAAAAAAAAAAACAAAAAAACTCCATTCACACAATATTTAGCAACAT